TTTTTTTGACAAAAGAATAAGATGTTGGACTACATTTTTTTTTTGCTTGTTGTATTACTTTTTATTTATTTTTACAAGAAAAATAAAAAAATGATGCTGTCAAAGCACATTTTTATTTTTTTATGCCTTTTGTTTTATTTTATTTGCAAGAAATATTTGTTATATTACCTTGTATTTTTTTTACAAGAAAAATAAAAAAATGTTGTATTATCTTTTTTATCTTTATCTTGAAAAGCCTTTTATTTTATATTTTTTCTATTTTTTGCTTTTGTTTATTTTTTTGACAACAAATTGTATTTTTTTTACAAGAAAAATAAAAAAATGTTGTATTATCTTTTTTATCTTTATCTTGAAAAGCCTTTTATTTTATATTTTTTCTATTTTTTTACAACAGTATTTTCTACCTTTGTTTATTTTTTTGACAACAAATTTTTTTTTGTTTTTTTTTGTTGTGCGCTAAGGGGTTCGAACTCAAAAAAATAAAATAATTTGTTGTGCGCTGAGGGGTTTGAACTCAAAATTTTTTTTGGTGTTCGTTATGGGGTTTGAACTCATGACATACGCCCAAAATTCAGTATTGTCAACCAACATGGCCACATCACCACATGTGATTCTTCTAGTTTCCATAATAATATATATTGAATGATATTGCTTTAATGACTTTTTGTGGGAATTATCCCACATTGAAAGATGAGTGTTGCTTGGTTTCATATAAAGTCATGTGTATTAAATTTCTTGTTGTGCGTGTAGAAACGTGATGGAGGCAAACGTGAGATGAGTTGCCACGTGTGGCCACGTGTCACTCTCGTGCGATGGCCACGTGTCACTCATGTGTGGCCTGAACCGGTGCACGTGTTGGAGTGTGTGTGTCGCACGTGCGACACGTACACACGTGTGAAGGCTAGAACCAGCTGGGAACCGCTAGAACCGGCTGGGAACCGGCGGTTCTCCTCTAGAACTGGGCGGTTCCCGGTTTTGTGTTGGAACCGGCACGGTAAGTACCGATTCCCGAGTCGAATCGGGCGAGTCCGATTCGACTCGGTGTTTTTTTAAACACTGGTTTAAACCAGTGTTTTAAAAATCGGCGAGTCGAATCGGACTCGCCCGGTTCGACTCGGGAACCGGCACAGGCCGTGCCAATTCCAGCAGAAAATCGGGAACCGCCCGACTCTATAACAGAACCTCCGGTTCCAACCCGATTTAGCCCGGTTCTACCCGGTTCTGCCCAGTTCAGCCCGGTTCCTGTGCGACACGCACGTGCACACGTGCTCACCTCACGTCTGCCTCCCACATGTTTCTACACACACAATAAAATATCTATTACACATGACTTTATAGAGATCCAAGCAACACTCATCCTTCAATGTAGGATAATTTCCACAAAAAATCATTAAAGCAAGATAATTGAATATATATTATTATAGATGTTAATAAAATCACATGTGGTGATGTGGCCATGTTGGTTGACAACATTGATTTTTGAGTGTATGACTTGAGTTCGAACCCCACAGTGAACACCAAAAAATATTTTGAGTTTGAACCCCTTATCGCACAACAAATTTTTTATTTTTTTGAGTTCGAACCCCTTAGCGCACAACCAAAAAATACAAAAAAAAATTTGTTGTAAAAAAAAAATATAAAATAAAAGGATTTTCAAGATAAAGATAAAAAAGATAATACAATATTTTTTTATTTTTCTTGTAAAAAAAATACAAGGTAATATAACAAGTATTTTTTGCAAATAAAATAAAATAAAAGGCATAAAAAATAAAATGTACTTTGGTAGCATCATTTTTTTTTTTTCTTGTAAAAAAAAAAAAAAGTAAATACAACAAGCAAGAAAAAAATGTAGTACAACATCTTATTCTTTTGTCAAAAAAAAAAAACAAAGATAATCAACAAGTATCATATTTCTCTTGTAAAAAAAATAAAAGATAACACAATAAGTATTTCTTGTCAACAAAATAAAAGGTATTTTTTAATACAACCTAGGAATAAATGGTCTAATTATATTTTTTATTTTTATAACATGATGATCTTTAACATAAAATTAGTAATATTAATTTAAAGATAGGATTCATACAATGAGGCCATTTGAAATCTCTCTTTCTGCTAACAATTTTTTCTACTAATTTATTCTAAAAACCTAAAAAATTAAAGAAAATTGGTACGCATTCTAATAATTTCTACATTGATAACCAAATATTTTATTTTATTTATTAATTTTGTATTATAAATCATGTTGTGTACTATTTTTCTTACAGTTGTCAATAATACATTTTAAATTAGATGATATTATAAAATATTTTGGATTTGTTATTATTTATATAATAAAATAATTATAAAATATGGTTGGTATATAATATTATAGTTAGTTAGGTTGTAATAATTTGGGTTTTTTTAGCGGATTAGGGTTTTCCGCCAATTCGAGATTTTAGTGGCCAAATTTTCATCGATTTAGTCAACTCTTTATTGTAGTCCATATACGATTAGATAATTAATCCATGATATAATTAATCCATGATAATTCTATGATTTCTTTTGTGTGATGTAAATTTAATGGTCAACATAAGTTCATACAGGGAAAAAGTATCTCAATATTCACAAATTGATGAAAAAAATAAAAGTTAATAATGTAGTACCCTCATTTCTTATTGGATTCCTAAAAAACAACATTTATAATGAATTTTAATAATTTTTTCGGATTTTTTTGAAGCTTTAATCCTACCGATTCCCGATCCGGATCGTCGATTCACCGATCCGGATCGGTTTTTGAGGTGCCCGATCCGGGTCACCGATCCGCTTTTTAAACCATTGGTTTAAACTATTACAGGTTATTGTTGAATTATTGTGTTCATTCAATTGCATTTTCAATTATGTATGTTTAAACTATTATAGGTTATTGTTGAACATCAGTGGTGAATGTAAGTGGTGCTCAGGTTATTATAGGTTATTGTTGAATGGACTAATTTCGTAC